GGCAAAAAAAAATGGACACACCTCTAGAAAATCGATTTTTGTATTTTTAACAAGACAAGTAATAGAATTCGTTGAATGTCGTGGTATTGATGCTAGTCCATGGTTCTCTTGATTTTGCACAAATAACCAACTCCTGCTGCTGAGAATGCACCTCAAACGTTGATTTTTTTTTATCGTGGTTAACAGTCCCCTTGGTAGTCACTAGGGTATTTCTTTCACCAGGCGTACACCAAACACGTATTCGTCCTTCGTATCTAAGAGTAAAGGGGCTCTCGTCACTACACATAACATCTTCCCAATCAAAATTCATTCAGTGTCAATGAGCTTTGCACCAAGCCCACCATGCCCGTCGATTTTTTCTCAGATACGAAAGGTTTGTTGTTTTTTTTTTTTAATGTATTTGGAAACAATGCCTTTTGCTTTAAGCCTTCGTCTGAATGTTCTTGAAGAAATCGCCAAACTATCCGCTTTGGAAACATCTTGTGCTGTTGCGAATCGATCTTTTTTGCATTGAAGAACCAAGTTTCTATCTTCTCTGTCGATAGTTTTTAGATATCGGCCAGATCCGCTACATCTATTATATATTCCAGTTTGATTTCTCTTTTTGATTAACTTGCAGACATATGACTCACTTTGATTAATCTTATCAACTATCGATCTATTCGACAGCCCAAGGTCATGATAAGCGCCGACTTGACTTTTCATGTTAATAAATGTAAATACAAATGTAATAAGCTTTATATTTTGTTCATCATCATTTCTATTGGTGCATCCATTTTTTTTTTGCTTCTTACTGTATATCACCCAATAGCGACTAAGTTCTAAGCGAAAATTCAAGCAAAGATACCCCAGATGTGTCAAGAGTCAAGATTAAAATTTGAAGAGAATTCACGAGCAAAACAGACTGTTTTATCAAAAGATGTTAACACCTCCAATTGAGTGAAGAGAAGGATAGAATACTTTTGTGAAAGATATTAATATAAAATTAACAAAGAGCACACTTTAAACATCAGGAACGAGTAATACATTTTTGTGCAACTATTATAATAATATATTAGAAGACAATTAAAAGGTTTATTCTAAAATCGGACATTATTTTCCAAACAACCTAATTCTATTTCCCAGTGTATGCAAAGGGTGCGTCATGTATTTGAGAACAAAATTCTGAAAGTCATTGATGTAAAATTAACAAAGCAGACACTTTAATACTCATTAGGAATGAGTAATATATTTTTGTGCAAATATTATATTATATTAGAATTGATTAAAAGAACATATTCAAAAATTATTTTTGGAACACTCTAATATTACAAAGGCTTGATGACCAGTTCAGGCCTTCACATCTAAAACTTACTGTGCCACATGCACTGGGACGAATCGTATTGGTAAGGATGAAGTTTTATTTGGACATCTTTTTTTCTGAGAACCACCACTTTATTGAACAGATTACTGAGAAGATGCATCCCGTGACCTTTAGGGTTGTAGGGGCACCACATGTCGTGTTTCTTGGGCATGATCTCCAGGACGTTTTATATTCAGAGTTTTCATTTTTACAGAAGCCAGTCTGCTATTTACCCTTAGCTGGGCGGAGAAGATGAGGATTCATACCTTTCCCAAGGTTATTAGCACGTAAGTGAATGTAATTGACTCGACTGGAACTCGAACGCGGCTCTCCGATTCCTCAATCTGAGCCGTTACCCATCACTCCAACGTATCTCCGAGATCATTAAAACCTTAACCAGAATCTATCCTACATATCCTTATAATCAACACAATTTATTGCCTTCTCTTATGTCCATACAAGAACCCTCTACCTTGAATAGCCATATTGTATTGGGTGAAAAAATATGTTTGCCTCTTAGCTATAAGTTGAATAGCAGAATAGCCTGTATCGTCTAGCCTTGATTGGTAGCCTGTCTAGGAGAAAGGCTTACTCGGTATCTTTATAGCTTAAGTGTCTCTAAGACTTGTAGCATCTACTGGGAAAAATAGTCTGCACACAGATAACAAAATGAATTCAGAGAATACACAAAGATATGAGGAGTAGGACAAGGATGTGTTTTTTTACAGGATTTATTTAACCTTCACAGCGAGAGGAAGTAAAGAGAACTAGACGATCTACGAAAATTTATTCTTGGCGGGAATAATCTTAACGTTATGACACAGTTTTCATGGCAAACTCAGAAAGAAAGTTTTTAATAGCAGACAAAGAAAGAAAAGTTTTAATAGCAGACGCAGAAAATAAGATTTTAAAGCTAGATAAAGAAAAGTTTGAATGGCAGACAAAGAAAGAAAAGTTTTAATGGCAGACAAAGAAGGAAATGTTTTAATGGCAGATGCAGAAAAAAGATTTTAATGACAGACAAAGAAAGAAATGTTTTAATGGCAGACGCAGAAAATAAGATTTTAATGGCAGACGCAGAAAAGTTTTAATGACAGACGCAGAAAAAAAGATTTTAATGGTAGACAAAGAAAGAAAAGTTTTAATGGCAGATGCAGAAAAAAGATTTTAATATCAGACAAAGAAAGAAAAGTTTTAATGGCAGACACAGAAAAAAGATTTTAATATCAGACAAAGAAAGAAATGTTTTAATGGAAGACGCAGAAAATAAGATTTTAATGGCAGACAAAGAAAAGTTTTAATGGCAAACAAAGAAAAAAGATTTTAATATCAGAAAAAGAAAGAAAAGTTTTAATGGCAGACGCATAAAAAAACGATTTTAATGGCACACAAAGAAAAGTTTCAATAGCAGGCGCAGCAAGAAACCCGAAAGAAATATTAGATAGAATAGTAAAAGAATGCAAGAATGATTTATTTTTTAAATCATATCACCCCTTGGAAGGCAATGAATCAACTAAGACACAAGGGGTTACTGAGTGTGGAAGAAGGAAATAGAAACATTAGGTAATAAGAAGAATAGAAGAGTAATCAAGCCAGGAGATAACGATTGACATAAAAAGTTTTGAAGATTAAAGTCGGCTGGAAAGCATGAAGCTGGAAGAGAAGTGCGAGAAAAGAAACTGTTATCATACGGTTACATCTAGCCAATTCAACTGTGAATTGATGAGACCTTGCCGCCAATCTAGTACTGCGTTTATATACAAAAAGTCTAGGTACGTTATCGAAGATTTCATCAAAACAATTACCATGAATGTATTTATAGAAAAGGCACAAGGAAGCTACATTACGTCGATGGGAAAGCGACGGAAGCCTAGACGACAGGTCAAGAGCAATATTATAGCTGATTCTTCTTTGGATTTTATCAAGAATCTCTAAATAGGCATCATGAGCAGATGTGGCAGTTTTACGGCTTATCAACCTATTTCAGATTATTTAAAGCCAGAAAATATTTTTAGATTTTAAGATTGTCTCCTTTTTTCTGATTGATACAAGTCCTAATAATTATTCCATATCTGGTGGATCCATACGTTTTCCAAAGGTATTCGGGCGTAAGTGAATATAATGAACCCAAATGGAATTGGAACTCGGACCATCGATTTCAAATTCCAAGCCACTATCCGCTACACCACCCGCGCATACACATCGTTACATCAACTGGCATTCCTTAGTATTGTATTTTTATGCTACACCCATTCAGGGTGTCTAAAATCATGGCTCACCATAGATTCATTTTCTTTATTATCCAAGAACTGCCATAAATTCCTGAAAAAGATATTGGAATGGCTTGCCGTTGCCTTCTCCACGGTTCTGGATTTAAAGATGGAATTTCTATGGAAATCTAAGGAATGCTAAGGATTTTATTTATAATGCTTTATTTCATATGACTTTATCTCGTATGACTTTCGTATATATGTGTTTGAAGAGACTTCCTTGTTTTTCAACAGTTCAAATCTTTGTCTACCAGCCTGTGCACACGAGAGTCTTGATAAAGATCGCATTATTTACATTATTATTGTCCTCATCTTTGTAGCCATATTTATTACAACGTTTCAGCACTTGTACGCTCCGGCCTTCTTCAAGTGATTGTAATGTCGAACTGAACATCGGTCTATATTTCTGAGATGAGGTCTTATGTAAACTATTTACGTTATTCGGACTATTGTCCTTATCTTTGCTACAGTATCTGTCTATATTTCTGAGATGAGGTATCATGTACACTATTTACGTTATTCGGACTATTGTCCTCACCTTTGTCGCCATATTTATTACAACGTTTCGGCCGTTGTACGCTCTGCCCTTCTTCAGGTGGTTGAAACGTTGGAATGTCGAACCCTTTATTTCGCTCACTGAGGTAGACAGTTCTAGTTCTACGTGCCATGTTTAATGGATGTCAGTTATCAGTTATCTCCTGTTAATTTTCCCTCTGAAAGTTCTCCACTGCCTTAACCGCGTATTGAGTGTACACTCTTTGGGTCATGTCACTGGTTTCTAACCAACGCCTTTATCCACTGTGCCATGTGTCCTTGAGGACATATGTGTATGTATTTCTGGGTATTATAAATCTAATGCCTTCAGCAACCATTTTTACCAGAGCGCATTCTGGCAACGTTTGAACCTATGACTCCCTTATAGAGGGGGGGGGAATAATACCACATATCCCAGCGTGAACGTTAAGCCACGAAAGACAGTCAAGCAAAGTTATGTTAACCCCTTTAAGTTTATGTTAACCCCGATGTCGCTTTCAGATCACTCGAACTTTTCAGGGACGAAAATAAATGTTAGTAAATAAAGACCGGTAGGCACAGGCCGGTAGCCATAGATTTACACTCTTTAAAAAACACCTATGTCTAATCATACACGTTTATCCAATTAATATAACGTTTAATGTAATAAGAAATAGATTAGATCTGTCTTTCTCGTAGGATGACTGCTTTTTCAAGACTACAGATCTCAATATACCCTACTATTAAAACTATAACTGAAGTGAAAAGGAATGTGTTTGTGCCTTTTCCAAAGGTAATAGTGCGTAGGGATTGCAACAAACTAAGAATAGAACATAAACTCAGATTTCCGATTCAACTTTCCAATGATCTCTGGCTTACGGCCATATCATGTTGAAACACCGGTTATCGTACGATCACCGAAGTTAAGCAATGCCGTGCTTAGTCTGCATATAGATGGGTGACCGCTTGAAAATACCAGGAATTGTAAGATTGAATGTGCGGGTGTTGTAATGGTAACTACACGGAAGTGGAAAACGGGGAGCCGAGTTCGATTTCCAGTCGAGTTCGTTATATTGAGGGATTCACTTGCGCAAAAAGACCCTTTGGAACTTTATGAATCCACTATTTTCTTCCATGGCTACATGTTAATTAGTAGTACATGTATCAGGAAATCATTATTACCTAAAATATTATCATAATCTAGAAATATTTTCTGATTTTAAATAACATGAAAATGGTTGATAAACCATAAAAAACAACTTAATCAATCAATAGAATTACCTCTATGCTAAACGCACATCACATAAAATAATTGTTTTGTTTTTATTATTCCTGTTGACCATGTTCGCCAAGTCTATGAATATAGAATACAGCGCAGTACATAATCTGTTCAATGAAACAACGTTAAAGATTAACACTCACCAGCAGTGGTTCCGTAATTCTTCAGTCTTTGATATCAAAGGCTGGCAAAGGCTGGCAATGCATATTCGGGAAAAAAACATGGCTGCCTTTATACACGTCGCATTGAATATTTTGAGCCTTCTGATTGGTTAAGCCTTCTATTGGTGAACTATAAAATGAGTCAGCTCATTTTGACTGGCTCACTAGTACATCAGTGTACCCCAAAATTCCAACAATTCTGAATGCGAAGGATCATGAAGAAGTATAGTGCTTCTCTGTGATGGCATTCTGTGTTGTCCCCGACTGGTCTCCATGATCACAGAACTATGAATACACTAAGTATGCACATTTTACAATTGCAGTCTTGCAATGAAAGTCCTGTAATTGTCTATCCATAGTGCAGATGATCCATGCATTGTGGAGAGCCACGTCCTTCTCGAGGTAGCATAGTCTATAGGCTAAACACGATGAATTTAGAGTAGTCAAACCTCATTAAAAAAATGTCCTGCATATACCTTGTGAGTATGAAGTAGTTCATGTGGCATGTATTCTGAGACCGATTGTATGAACACCGTGGCTGTGCATATGAACAATTTGTTTGACAATGGACTGTCGCGCATGCTCTAACAAGTTGAGAACTACGTGATTTAGAAGGATCTAAGACCGCTGATCTTATTAAGCACAGAAAGATAAATATCCAACAGGTCGACGATGATATTTATTATTCTGAAGAATTATTGGTTTACTTAAGTATACTATTGAGGAGGCACGGTGGAGTAATGGATAGTGCCACGGATTGAGGAATCGGAGAGCCGAGTTCGAATTCCAGTCGAATCCATTACATTCACTTACGTGCTAATACTTTTGGGAAAGGTATGAATCCTCTTTTCCGCCAAGCACACAATGGCAAATATCAGAATACACCGGGTTCTACCGGGTTCTTGGATGGCAACTGGTCTACAGAAAGAAATGGCAACCTACTGTGAGAAAAAATCTGCCTCGGCAGTCATATACTGAAAGATATATGATCGCCTACGCGTGTATCACGCATGGCACATAGCTGACTGACTGACTAAGTATATTATTAAAAGCACCAATTATCAAAGTGGCTCTCGCCTACCTGCTATAAAAGACGGCATCCACAATATGGACCTCCGCCTGCCGTGGAACGCTACTCCGAGGGGGAATGAGGATTATTTGAACCAAAAAGCGTTGTTAATGGTCTTATATCTTTAGGATTCTATATTGATTTTAAGATAACTATAAGTCAGTAGAAATCTATTACACCTTAGAGAAATCAGAAACAAAACTAAAATCATTATTTGCTAAAAATAGGATAATTTCCACCCCGGAAAAGTTTACGGATATTGCGTTTTTATGGAATCGATCTCATATATAAAAAGGAAATATATTTGAAAATATATTTGAAAATATATTTTGTTGTAAGAATGTGACGTCGTCCCCCGGTCGCAGCGTCGACTGTGTCGTTCGATCCCGGTCGCGGCGCCAATTGTGACGTCACGTGCTCCCCAGGCTCTGATATCCTGGTCACGGACAGCACCAACTGTGACGTCTTTGCCGCGGCGTCAGCTGTTCGCTCCTCGCTGCTCCAAACGTGACGTTCTAACCCTTTGGTTAGATTGATACCAGCCTCGTCGTTCCCAACCCGCTTCCAACGCCTGGTTACCAGGGTAACTGCACTGATCTCCAGTCTGCCTACCCACGTTGTGAATTGATCTTAGACAGACGAGATCAAACAGGGGTTGGGGCCGTAATGCAAGTTGAGTCTAACGGGGTGATAACACACAATTATGTATAAAAAAAAAAAATAAAACTCACAAGGTCCAACGTATCAAAGAAAAAGGTAACAAACTTTTATGTCTATTTGCTCGGTACATGGGACTATGTCTACTTCCCGACCCGTTCTGTGGATTGTGGCACGACGCTTTTTACTAGGCAACTTTAAGGCTTCCAGTTGTCTGCTCTCTAAGAAATTTGTGTTTCGGTGTGTCTTTGGACGAAAGTCGAAAAAAACTTATTTCTGTGGTCTGATTCTAAGTCGCTCTTCAAACTACTTGTTCTTGGTTGAAGAAGAGTCCAGAAGTGTGCGTGAATCTTGGTCAGCTATCTTGACGCGGTTTCAACACTGGGCGCTCATCTCTGCTTGTCGTCCACGGCTCAAAACTCTTTCGCCGTCCGCTGCTCAAACTCCAACTGATTTCTGTCGGTTGGGGTTTCGCTTTTATTGACGCAGTCAAAACTGGGGTGGGTCTTTCGGCGCCAGGGGTTTCTTCGATAATTCTAAATACGTATCCACCCTTCTTATTTCTGGTTAGGGATTTTCCATTTTCGGTAACTCCTCTCCTCCCACTTCCTTACTGTGCCTCTGAGGGCGTATACCCGCTTCCCCGCTTCTTCGTATCGGCTCCTTACACTTCCACTTCTGACAAGGGCGTCGACCGATTCTCCTCGTGCGTCACGTGACCGCTCTCGGGCAGTGAGGTCCTGGTCGGGTATCTTTCCTCCTCCTTCGTGTGTCATGTGACCGCTTTCGGCCAATGAGGTCCTGGTCGGGTATCTTTCCTCCTCCTTCGTGTGATGTGATCGCTTTCGGCCAATGAGGTCCTGGTCGGGTATCTTGCCTCCTCCTTCGTGTGTCATGTGATCTTATTTAGCTAATGACGTCTTTAGTCGGGTGTGGACAAACCGTGGCTTTGTTTTGCTTAAAAAACAAAAATATTAATTTAAATCGCCCTTATCATGAGCGACTGCGATGACACCTTCGGCTTTTTAACACGTGGTATTTGTCAAGCAGTTTATCGCTAACTGGATAAGACCTAAGAAAGGGATTTCTCAGACCTGTTGGCGTTTTTTTGAACGAAATAAAAATATTTCATTTTCCTCCGGCCGAAGGTCCGATAATAAAAATCTTTATTATCTCAAAAAAAAATTTTCAGCGACATCATCTTGTGTGGCTTTTTTCCAATTTTGGAGATTGTCTGGGTTTTCGTATTAATGGTTTGCCTTCATATCCTTAGATACACTTCCCCACCCACTTAGACTTTTACTATCATCCCAATGACACACTTTCCACTTGTTACTTATCAATATTTTTCATTGTCCCTAAACTTCGTTTCTTCAACCAATTGATAACAACTTCCATTTTCCCCAGATCTCGGTTAGATATTTTTCGACACCTGTTATCTGTCAGCCGAGCGTGTGTGTGCTCGCCTATGACCTGTTTTCGTATTATTTTTTCTTTCTTTCTTCTTCGTTTTCTCTTTCCTTCTTCCAGATCGCTTGAACGTAAAGAAAGAATTATTCTTAAAACCCGAAATATTTTTCGGCCCTAAATAATTATTAAATGGTTGATAAACCGTAAGAAAAAAAACAAATCATATATCTATGAATATTTCTTTTCAGCTCGTCAGGTATGCATGGTGTCACAGGAATCTGAACATATTTAATTTATTTACACGTGAAGTATTTTTAAAATCTTTCTTGGCATTATCACAAAGTTTTACTTGTTCCCTCGCCAGCACCACCACTACTCGGCCTTCATCAAGTTGATCTGAATAACCTACTGGGAATTTTGAAATGAACCCTTTATTTAATGTACCTAGGGTAGATCGTTCCACTGCGCATGTCTAGAGATATCTCGCCTAGTTCTTATTTCTAGCATTGCTCATTCAGTTTTTTCATACTTTTCTTAGCGTTAGAAAGGCATCTTTCCCTATTCGAATGCAACCTTCGAATTTCAATGTCACATTTTTCGTCCTCTGTTAAAACCGTTCCCAAATGTTTCCTTTTTCGTACAGGCTTGATTCGTAGTTCGTATCTTGTGCTGATCGTCTCATTAACAACCATTTCTTCTCACTTACGATTGATTGATAGTCCTATCTTTTCACTAACCTTTTCTCTCTCCAGTTGGAGGTTCTGCTGTTTTCTTACTTTGTCATAGTTTACAAAATATTCAAATTTTAAAATATTAACATATTCTCTATTTTTTCCATTTGAATTTCTGTGATGATAAATTATCAATATTTATATTTTATACTATTATACTCATCTTTGTTTTTTCATCAAAACGATTACTCTGTTCTTCCCTCCGGCCTTCCTTACATGTATATCGATCTGAATAACGTACATGGAATTCTGAACTGAAGACTTTATTTAATCTATGGGGGTAGACTATTCTCGTTCCAATGCACATGTGTAGACATGAGGAGAATAGTCCAAATATAAATAGTGTAAGAATTTCTTCAAGGAGTATTTTGAAATATCCTCTGGCCTTCTTTCGGTGTATATCGATCTGGATAACCTACATGGAGTTCTGAACTGAACACTTTATTTAATCTAAAGGGGTTAGGGTTAGGGTTAGCCAGTTCACCCTGATGATCCCATGTGGTGAAACTTAGGTAGGTAGTACCTGGCTCATTAGGATTTATTTATTTTACTTTTGCTCTACTTAGTGTATTGAGCACTCTTCCTTTTAACTTATTACTCGCTGTATTTTTTTCTTAGTGCCAAAGATTTAAGGTAATGGACGATTTTTTTACCCTGTTCGGAGGTCGCTGGGTTTTCTTC